ACCTGCATTAGCGCTCTAATTACATATATTTTTGTACATATTACAGTCATTGTTGTAAGTTGAATTGATTCATTTCTCTATTTCTGTCATTTGATATGTGTTTTATAGATGCGGTATATACATAAAGATATTCCACGACCATTTGAGGTGCCATTTGGTTCATGGTTGATTCCGATTATAGGTTCCTTACTTTGCATTCTTCTTATCAAAGATATACCATCGGTAGCAGGTTATCGATTCCTTGTGTGGACAGGATTAGGTCAAATTATATATTTTTCCTATGGTTTTTGGCACTCTAAACAACGAAAATTAAGAAAAATTAGATCTATTGTAAGTGGAATCCAACCTCTACCAACAATATCAAGTGTTATAGAACAACATACACAAAACGGACTTGAGTCTGAATCAGCCAATGGGAATACTGGAAGTGCAGTATAAAAACTCTATTTACTAATACTTGTATATATCAATGTAACACAATTGAATTAAATAGAAAAATTAAATTCTATCATGCTTTTCAATTCGATTCAACATAGCAATGGATTTATTAATTATTATATAAATAGTTTATTGTACTATTTGGTTTAAGAATAGATGATCTCTGTTGTTTTCCTGAATTTTGTTTGTTAGAATTTTTGAGTAGAACAATATTATTTTTTTTTGTCATAAAGATGTTTGTAAAATTGAATATTTGATTTGATTCATAGAATCAATTAAAAGAACTTGTTTTCAAAATTGAATGTATGTTTTTACCTTTTTCATTATTATTTTAATAAAATAAGAAACATTATATTATGTGTTGAAAATAAAATAGATAGTTATAACGTAGATCTTGAAATTCTTAATCATGAAATGCTCCTAAATAGAATTAATTGATCAGAGAAGTAATCGAATTATAATTTCCTTTACAAGAAATATTATTCTCAGAAAGAATGTCATGCGAAAACTGTGCATTAATAGAAAATATTAGTTTCAGATATTGTGTAGTTGAAAATAGAAAAGTTTTTAAAGCTAATTTCTTTTTACAAACGTTAGTTTTTTTGTCGGGAACATATAGCATAAAAAATACCAATAATAAATTGAACTACATTTTTGAGAGGAGGCAAATTTTTATTTGAAAGTTCAATATTCTTTTCATTGTTTATATAACAAATAAAAGATACGATTGACAAAAACCATCAAAAGCAAGTTTCTGAGAACATCAGTCGGTATAGTACATCGATGAGGAAGTGACATTTCAGAATTTGCTCATTTTTTGATATGTTGTAGATGGTAGTGAGTTTAGTATTTCCTGAAAATTTCAGTTCGATTTGATTACTTTTTCCTATGCACATAGTCAAAATACAAACAGAGTTTTTCATCATTTTTAATAATGATTTTTTTATCGATTTTCAGATGGTTTTCTCAGTAAAATTGACTTTCACATTTCAGTTTATGAACCTTTTGATATCTCGCTTTTCTAACTATAATTGTTAAGGTATTGTTCTTCTACACACAAAATTCTAGGAGTTTTCGTCAATCTTATAAAGACTTCTGCAACATCATTAAATAAGTCTGTTTTACTCTGTTTTCTGTTTTTTTATCAAAATGTCGGTAAATTGCCTTTTATGCAGCAACAATCAGTCGTTCAGATATTTCTACTGATGATAGAGTACATCAAGTTTTACCATTTAGAATATTTCATAACTTCTTCTCCTCCCTTTAGAAAAGCTACTAGCGTAATCACTGCAAGATGAAAATGTAAAACACAATGTAGCTGTTGTTACGAATCACGACAATGTTGTTTTATTCGATCTATCTTGAGACCCATTTTTTCATCATCTTTCAGTTAATCCTTTAGAACTGCAAGAAGGAAGCAGTATAAATATTCTCATGAGATGTTAGTAATATATGATCACTAATGAGGTATCAAAAATATCTGTCACGGTTTGTGGACGATTGATTAAAGTCGTCTATTTCCTATCACTTATACGATATGTTTGAAGATGTTTGTCTTTTTTCCATATGTTATACTTTCTCGAATAGTTAATTTTTTCATATTTAACTATTTCTCTGTTGTGGCTAGTATACAGATAATAAATTACTGAATCAAAATTTCGACATCTTTAATATTAATAAAAACAAAATCATACGTTTAGAGAAAGATCACTTGCATACAAAATAGCATAGAGGGGGATATTACCAAGTTTTGATGCTGAAAAATTGAGTTTTATCGAAAACAAACCTGATATTCAAAATCAACATAGAAAACTACACCAGAAAAAGTATGTTTCATTACAGAATATTTTTCATTGAAACTTTACCTGCGGAGAACCACAGAGAAAATTTTTCGGGTAAATGGCTGAGGAGAAGTATAATGAAATTTTCATAGGAAACATTTTAAGATGAAAAATATGTTTTCTAGTGCAGTTTTCTATGCTAATTCCGAATATCAGTTTCGTTTTCGATAAAAATCAACTTTTTGCAATCAAAAATTGATAATATCCTTTTTTATGTTATTTTGAGTGGAAGTAATCCTTGTCTAAACGTATCGTTGTTCTTTTGCTAAAAAAAAATATCAAAGAGTTGTTCTAGAAATATTATATCCTCATACCACCTACAATAAAAATATAGTTCAACAACAAAATATTAACAAATCGAGAGAGTATAACCTATGGAAAAAAGATCAGCATCTTGAAACGTATCTCATAAATGATACGAAGTAGATGATTTTAATCAAAAATGCTTCATTTTTTGTAAGATGGAGAAGTTATGAAATATCTTAGATGATAGCACTTGATGTGCGCGATCACCAGTAGAAATATCAGAACGATTGATTTTTGCTGCATAAAATGCGATTGACCAACATTTTGATAACAAAACAGACTTATTTAATGCTGTTACAGAAGTCTTTATAGAATCGACGAAAACTCCTGAACTTTTCTGTGCAGAAGAACAATACTTTAACAATTATAGTTAGAAAAATGAGAAGTCGAAAGTCTCACAAATTGAAATGTGAAAGTCAATTTTACTGAGAAAACCACCTCAACAATCGATAAAAAAAATCATTATTAAAAATTCTTTTAGCACTTTGATTATATGTGTAGGAAAAAGTGATCAAATCGAGCTGAAAATTTCAGAGAATACTGAATTCACTACTATCTACAACATATCAAAAAATGAGCGAACTCTGAAATGTCATTCTATCATCAATGTTTGAATCTCTCAATAATTCATTTTCAAGGCCTCTCTTAAAAATCGATCTTGGGTCATAAACATTCAAATCGCACGAAATTCTCGAGATATGTCGGGGCTGTAATGGGAAGGCTATAGTAAAATTTTCAGTCCCATATCATGACGTTTGAGGGAGATATTCAATAAACAAGGTTCAAAAATAGCGCATTTGGCGGCTCAAATTTCTCAGTAGACCTTCACTCCATAGACTTTATTCTTTTGTTTGAATGAACATGTCAGGGTGCATAGCATGGCAGAGCTCTATTTTTTTTAAATGTTAATTTTGTAAGAGGAGAAAAGAGATGAAAGATTCAATGCCTCAAAAACTCTCAAAAAATGGCGCTCTAATTGTAACAGTACTCTTGGTTTATGAAAGATAAAGATTGTCAATTGACCATTGTTATTGCTGACTTTAACATCGAGAAGAGGTGTAGATGTTCTTACTAGCGACACACACACTCATACTCACATGTACACCTACACCCACATCCTCTCTACAAAAGCATGCATACGTTCTTGCATACACGGGCAATATTACGTGTGTACATGCGCAAAATTCCATGTACGTAAACGTGAATGTAGTTTATTCTGTGATGCATTTCCATGACTGCTATGTTAAAACAATTCATGTATACGCACGCAGCATTATTTCTGCATTTATGTATATTTTATAAGCTTTTGTGTTTAATTGGGTGACATTCATCCAAGGGAACATGTTAATTTAAAAGTAGAAAAAGCAATGATTTTTGTAAAAATATTTATTGAATGAAAACAATGTGTATGTCTGTTTTTTTTTTTGATTCAATATCATTAAAACACTCTAAGTTTATAGATTGGAGAGGTAGGAGACATAAAAAGAAAAGAGAAATATATACATATTTTTACAATGCATCAATTTGATTGTTGAAGGAACAGAACTTATTTAGTGAGATATATAAAGAAACAAAAATAGGAACAATAAAAATGGTAGATGATTGTTATCGGTATTAGTCGTAAATTGTATATGAAAAGAATGAAAAAATACCCATGCTCAAGTGAATTATTCGTCAAAATGGTTAGGTTATAAGAGTTTTTGAGCTTTTATTGAGAGCAAAGCAACTAACATTTGTCAGCGATTTATACAAGAAGTTAGTAGTAAAAAAATAGAAATTGGACTAAAATTTGAGTGAAGTATTTTGATGGTGATAAACAAACATGCATTAATCTTTTTTTTCTTCGAAAACAATCTCTCTAAATGAATTGATAACATGATAAATGACTGTGATGCTCTAACTGTAGATCACTAGAATCTCTGCTAAGAATTTTATAAAACACTGTATGACGAATCGCGGCATGGAAAATATATTTAACAGAGTTCTTACATCAGTATCATGCTATCTATAACTTTTAAAACTTGCTCAAGAGACTTTTTGAATCAAGATAAACTTGCTTTATTCATTTGCGCTTGTCATGTTTGTTACACAACTATTTCTTTTTTTCCTAATATTCGAATAGATTTTACTGTGTTATAATCATAAAATTTATCTCGCAAACAGCCCTTTTTGAGCGATATAGTTTTGAGTGTGACATGATGAATATTTGTCTATATGTCAGCAGATCTTTATTTCATTAAAAAAAAATTTTTACTCATAATACGAATCCAAATATTCATTTAACTTGTTTGCGAAATAACTCATCTCCGCTCTTCCCTGAAAAAATGTATTATAAATACTGCTGTAACACGTTTGTGAAAAATTTGTTGTTTTCAGTAATAGAAAGTTTTAAAATGCGTTTAAATTCATAACAAATAAATAAATGTGTCAAATGTATAAAAACCAATGCATTCGAATGATGCTATTTAAAACAAGCGTACATCGGAGAGAAAAAATACATTGTAAATAAAACAGATGAGTTTAAATGTGTTACAAATAAAAAACAACATTTTTAAACGCAAAAATAGCGTTTTTTCTAATAGCTAGCGTTGAAATGCTGTTTCGTACAATTATTTTTCCATGGAATGTAATTCCGTTCTATTCTATCATTATAGTAGGTTTTGATGCTTTGGCCGCATAAAAATCATTGCAGTGCGCGTAAATCGGGAATGTTTATCCTTCATTATTCGTCGCATGATTCGACTCATTAGTTAAGACACGGAGTGATCTTTGATAAGTAATATGACTATTAAAGATTATGTAGTATATAGGATGTGTGATAACCAGTTGGTATCTTTATTCGACTCGTTTCAGTCGAGGTAGTCATCGATTTCACACTCGGTGAAAAGAACTAGTCAATCAACCCTTCTCAAAGGAGCTAGAGTTGGTATACAAGCTACTTCGAAACACGCGTATGAGGAAATGTCACACTCCTTTCTAGAAGAAGCAAGATACTGAGTTATGGTCGTGTTCACATTTTTATGCAGCTGTTTTACTATTCTACTGAATGTTATGTTGTTTGTCGAACGACACTTTAGTCGACAGACTTTTCATCGAAGTAACTTTGTCGAAATTTTTTTGTAGAAAAGCATTTCGTCGAAAGAACATCTCGTCAAAAGTGAATTATTTTCTTCTTCTTATTTGTCTCACCGCCAGGAGACAAGTTCAAAAATATCTTCTAATTAGCTTTGTTCCTTTGGCGACGATGGAAGAATTTTAGCGTACCATTGAATAGAATTACATGCTTTTTGTCGAAAAATACTTCGAGGAAAGGTTCACAGCCCCTCGAGACAATTCCAGATCCTTCAATTCTTCTACAGAACTATTCAGAGGTAAGAGGACAATGAATTTTCTCTCACACTCATGTTCGTAGTGCTCTTGCCCTCACACTTGAAGTGCCTTGCATCGCTCTTACCCTTACCGCCATGCTCACCCTCACCCTCACATTTAGAGTATCCTTGTATGGCACTTACCCTCACTATCACACCCACCTCACCTTTACGTTTGGAGTGTTCTCCATAGCCAAGAAAATACTTTCGCCGAAAAGCAGATATCTATGGGAGCTTATCAATGAAGTGCTTTGTTGGTCAAATGTCGTATCGACGAAATGTTCTGTTGACGAAATGTTGTGTTGACGAAGTGTCCTGTCGCCGAAATGTTGTGTTGACGAAGTGTCCTGTTGACGAAATGTTGTGTTGACAAAGTGTCCTGTCGACGAAATGTTGTGTCAACGTAGTGTCATGTCGACGAAAAGTTTTCGACCAACAACATAATTGCCTGCTATCCCTACTCAGAGAACATTTGTTTTGCTTTAGCAGAACTCATCGAGTGGGTGTGGATGTTGCCTGTTTTTCATCACTAGATACTCTAAAGCTATTGATCATCCATCTGTTTATTATGAGTATATACTTATGCCATAAAAATAATTGAAAGCAACATATACTTCACCATGTTTTCCAGTATATTCTCAATAAAAGGAGCTCTGAAGTGATGTCAACATCACCGAGATGTAATCGACTATTCGTTGAAAGAGATGATATGGTACCATGGTAGCATGAAAGTATGCAAGTTTATGCATGAAAAAAAACTCGAGAATATGCTCAATAATGAATACAAATTATTTTATTAACAGTAATAACATACAATTTTGATTGCACTACAAAAACTGGCATTCATTTACAATGTTGTTTATTCTCAATAGATTAAGAAGTGTCTTTGACGTTCTCAATTAATGGATATATGTCATATCGTGAAAAGAATTTGTTTAAGATAAAACGAACAAAACACTACCGATAAAAAAACGAAACAAAACAGAAAAACATAAAAATCCAAGAGCAAACATAAAAATCCAAGAGCAAACATAAAAATCCAAGAGCAAACATCTATATAGATACAGAAACATACAGCACATAAAAATATGCAGATATATGTATACACGAGGTAGAATCGATGAAGTAGTTCGGCCTTCATATAAAACTCTTAAAAGGTAAGACTTCATTGTTGATTCAAAAAGAAGAAGTGGAGTCATAAATTAGTAAAGATGGTCAATAATATATTCAATCGAGTAAGTACACTATATATATAGCTGTCAGTTCTAAGAACTAATATGATCAATTAAAAATTACATTTATAAGTTTAAAAGTTATGACGAACATTTGTTATGTACCGTCCTATAGGAATATGAGGTTAATATTGATTAATACTGATGAATTGTGAATGTGAGTCTAGATGAAGACAAGATCCACAATCACATATTGAGATAATGTGTAGATGTTGCTAGGGAAGTTGAATTAAAATGAAAACACTGTCGTCAACATTCTAACGACATTTGTTGCCCACGTTTTATTTTGATAGATATCTTACTCTTGGTCGAGTCGCAGAACTTACAATAAAATCTGCTTGATTTATTCGATAAAATTATGATTTATGCTATAGCTTGCATACTCTACACAATAGCATGGCAAACATACATTTAGTTGAGAGAAATGGCAAAGATAAATTTTGTTCTGTATGAATAGTGTAACATATTGCTTTTCTGGACATTACGCAGTGAACACATATTAATACTATAAAACACAAATCTTTGCATTTAGTTTCGTCGTTCGAATAATATTGTCACCTCGAATGAGACAAGTGTTCCGGCGATAACGACAAGTGACGATGAGGTCAGTTATGCAGTTCAGACTGTTATTGTTTCAATTGTTTCGCTGAAAATTAGGACCATCACGAATGGGATCGTCCAATAGAGTTTGTGTTTTCACTTATTTCGAACTCAGTGGGACTTGGTAATGTCTGGCGTTTCCCATATCTCGCTGCCAGAAACGGTGGAGGTACGTCATGTATGTCTATTGGTTTTCTTCAATTCATTCTATCTTCTAGGTGCTTTTCTTATTCCGTACTTCATTTTGTACTTCTTAATCGGAGCGCCTATGTATTACTTGGAATTGGCCATGGGTCAGTTTTCAAGTCGAGGTCCAGCTACTGCATTTGTTCTCGCTAAAGGATGGCGAGGTAAACAAATGATAAATAATTAATATTTGCTCTCATCTTTGCTTTCTAAGGCGTTGGCTTTGCTATGATTATCAATAGTGTATTGGCCATGCTTTACTATAATGTAGTTATTGCATGGGCATTATTCTACTTTATATCGTCGTTTCGAGGACATCTTCTATGGTCTGATTGTGACCATTGGTGGAATACGGATCGTTGTATCGTGCCTGGAAACCGCGGAACAACTTACGCAGTTAATGGAACAACATTTAACTGTACGGAATCACAGTATCAAAATTTTAGTATATACAAATGTACAGAAATAAACATGAAGGACCGAGTTCCTGCCACAGAAGAATTTTACTAGTAAGAATTTATGCTATCTCGTGAAATTAGTGGCAATGACTTATTTTAAGAGTTGGACAGAAGTTCTATGCTTTTTACTTATTTGTAGCAGACTTCTTCTACAGAAAAGTCCCAGCTTCGATGATTTCGGCACGCCAACACTTTATATGTCTCTTTCACTATTCGTTTCATGGATCATTGTTTGTCTATGCATCATTCGAGGTGTCAAAACATCGGGCAAGGTTTGTTTAACATGCTACTTGCACTGTTACATTTATTTCCATAGGTTGCCTACTTCACGGCCATTTTTCCATATTTGGTTCTGTTGATTCTGATAATCTACACAGCAACATTGAGTGGTTCTGGTGATGGTATCCGGTTTTATGTTGTTCCTAAGTGGGAACTAGTTGGTGACTTCAAGGTACGACTTACTTTTGAGATAGGTGCCATTTCGCTTTCGATTTCTACTGTTTTATATTTATACAAAGAATAATCAGCAAATGAATTTTTCGAAGAATATAGTTAGAAGGCAAACGAAAGTAGTGCCCACTTGGAATATCACTTTGTGTCCACAAGTTTTCGTTATTCACCGTCAATCTTGTATTCGTGTCTGAAAATGACTATGTGTATATAGATGCTGTGGAACGAAGATTTTTCTATATGATTAAATTTGTGCAATAATCATCATCTTTAAAGGCTTTGATATGAAGAAGTTTCTCAAAAAAAAAACAATTTTTTTCTTTTGACCAGAACATATTGTCATAATATCGGTTTCTATTCAGTTCATGAGCTTAACAAATTCTAATTTAGTTATACCCCAGGCAATACTATCCGTCGTCTGCTACATGCTGCTGTGTGCTGATGTATCAGATGCGATAACTATTGACCACTGCCCCTTGACACCCTCATGCAGTTCAATACCGATTTGTAAACAAAACCGAAAAAGAAGCCTGGCTAGTCGTCGTAAAAACTAAGGAAAGATCTGATTGTCGTTTGAAAATTTTGAAATAAATCATTGTTCGTGAAAGTTACTAGTAGATACTAGCACATGCTAAACCACTTGAATTCAAATTGAACTGGACAGACCTCTAAGAATTCAAATAAAATATGAATTCACTTAGTACATGTAGTGTTTTTATCATAAAAAAACTGATCATACCAAGTCCGTACTTATGATCTATCAGTTTGCTTTTCAAATAATTTACATTTCTTGAATCCAGACAACATCAACTAAGTTGACTGAACTATCATTTGAGTCATATTCTGGAATCTGCTGTCGATTTCTTACCAATGATTTATCATATTCAGGATGCTGATCGCAGAAAAGAGATAACTATCTCGTCATAACTACCAACCTCATAAAAGAGATAAGAATTAACATTCTATATGTATTAGAAAGGCTCACACGCTCTGACTATCGTCATTCTCAACCCTTTAGTCTGCATACATTAGGCAACAGTATTATACACTATTGTTTACAAAATGTGAACATGAATCGATGTGTCACATTCAAGACAGTCGAGTTTCTAATCAAGAAAAAGCATTGAATAGTATTTATATATTTTCCTCATAGTAAGATCGACAACCTGAAAGAACCAATAGAAATCTTCAATAATATCAGGTTTTTGAGAATTAATGTATGGTTTTGCGTAAAATTAAAGATAAACTCGGTCACAATATGACTTCAGTTTTATATATGCGAAGTTAGTCGAATTTTTCTTTTAGACATGGCAAGCAGCTGCCTCACAAGTTTTTTTCTCTTTGGGTATCAGCTTTGGCTCATTAATGGCCTACTCAGCATCGAACAAGTTTCATAACAACTTTTTCAAGTAGGTTTGCTTTGCTTTGCTTTAGCCATGTACAATGAAGTTCTTCCAAATTACTTTAGGCAAATGTGCATCGTTGTTTTCTGTGATTGTCTAACAGGAGTGTTTGCTGGATTTGCCGTCTTTGCTACTATTGGCTTTCTGGCAAAATCATTAGGTGAAACAGTCGAGAAATACGCAGAATCATCAGGTCCTGGTCTGGCATTCATCACTTATCCAGAGGCTATTTCGAATATGCCGGCTAGTCCATTCTTTGCAATTATCTTCTTTTTGATGCTACTCGCACTTGGTCTAGGCTCTCAGGTGAATGAGCTTGTCACTCTTCTTATGGTATACGAATATCTATCGATCCATTTAGTTTGCATTCACTGATGTACCCATCACTTCGATAGTGGAGTTATTTCCTCGTCTTAGAAGAAATCGTCCATATGCTGTTGTAATCACTTGTGTTCTTTCATATCTCATTAGTCTCACGTTCGCTTGTCCTGTATGTGAATTTGTCACTCGCTGATGATTTTGATTTAATGATCTGCATCATATTTAGGGCGGTATTTATTTCTTCGAGCTCTTTCAAGAGTATGCAGCCAATACTTCTATGCTTGTTGTCGGCTTTTTTGAAGTGATCGTGATATCTTACATTTATGGTACATTATTTCGTTCTCATTTTTGCAATCACTTGATCTGTATTCATTGACGATAGGATTCAATCGATTTATGAATGATGTAAACATGATGCTGAATAAACGAGCTGCTGAAATATATCTATTTCTAACTTGGTATATTTCAGCACCGCTACTCACGCTTGTAAGTATGAATGCGTCGTGATGCGTGACTATGAAATTAGCATAATTCACATTTGTTATTGACTTTTGGTTGTTAAGATCATAACTGTAACAAAACTGATCAGTGCAGCACCGATAACACTTGCTGCGGGTGGTGGATTCCCTCAGTATACGTTTCCGAGATGGAGCACCATATTGGGCTGGTTCATTTTCGTTTTTTGCATAATTCCTATTCCTATTGCATATGTAGTCAGCTACGTAAAGGAATTTCAATTTTTGCGCAAGATACAGTTGGTAAGTTATCCCATCGTTTCATATTGCATAGATTACTTCTATTTCAATAGAGATCCCAATCAATGATCGAAAGCAATGAAGAAAAGCCAATTTACTTGCAAGCTTTCACTGAAAACAACTTGCCGAGTTCGGATTGGGGTCCTAAACGAGAGGCAAATCGAATAGGTTTTTATCAACGAACGAAAGAGCCGTTGACCAAAGGTCGACTTTCTCCATCTAATAACTCAATATCCCCACCAATCGTTGTTGATCATTTGAATGATAAACCAAACTAATTGAACGATGAAACAATTTAGGAATACCGATTCCGATAATCTTGAACAATACAGATTTTCTATTTTTCTTTTACACATATAGTTGTGTCCTACTAATAGTGGAAAACCTATCGTTTTCCCAACATTATCACATATTCATAAAGCAAGTATAAATTTGATTAATACATAATTGACGTCCTATTTGACATTGATAGTTAAATACTCTGAAATTGTAAGAAAACGAAAGATACAGTATCATGATTATTCAGTATGAAGAATCGGAATACCTGTCAATTGAACAGAATACTAATATTAAATCATAAAAAATAATTAATCAAACTAGTAGTTGTAGATGAATAGAATGAAACTCATTCTTCGTCATGATGTATTCCTTACGGAACACTTCTGCATTCTAGCAGTCTTTAAATAACAGTGCAAATAAAGGAAAACTTGGTTTCGATTTCAGCAACTATTCTTATTCAACAAATTCATCATCTAGTGAACATACCTTATTAGATTCAGAGCCAGAATTGACTGGAACGCTCGGCAAATCGACTCGACTCAATTAAGATCGAGTCGAGCTCAGACATAATAACGAGATTTCATCGATTGACAAGTTGTGCCGTAATGAACTATTTCAATGGCTTTATCTTCACTCTACATTGAGCTACTGCTCTCAAAATTCTACCACAAACTTGTGGACTCATGAGAACTTATTGCTGAAATTTTCAACTGAATTAATTGAGTTGAGCTTGAGTTATTGACGTCAGACTGAGAACTATGACTAACTACTTGGTAGAAGTTTTCAATGTGAACTTCATATCTCCATTATTCCAAGGTAATTTCTTACCAAATTTTGACTATAGACAGCTACACCAGTGGGCTTATAAATGAGAAGTTGTGTGAACATGAAGGTCAAAAAATGATCGAGATATGACTTAGACAATCTAATGATATTGTTGACCTGATAACTCCAATCTATATCAATCGATTAAGAGCAAGTTGGTACTTGTGATCAGAGTTTACTAAGATCAATCTAGATCCAAAATATCAGTCCCATATCATGAGAAATAAGACTAGTTTAGGGGCGACCACTTTTGTTCAGGACTGTAACATTCGAAAAGAAATTATGAAAAATATTTTTTCACGGTTGTATATATAATTTTAAATATGTCATTGTTTTTTGAATAAGTTTGTATTATTTACGAATCTAATATTATATTGGATATTTGTATTGGATGCAGAAAATCCAGTAAAGAATTTAAATTTGAAAATTTTTCAATGTTTCAATGAAGATGAAATCAAATCTTGCCAATGCGAAGCCTCATGAATGCTTCTTCTATTTTTCGTAAAGAAGATATATTTTTTCGGATTCGGTTTTTTGTTTTAATCATATTTCAAGGTTCGTAAATTCCGATCACTGTATTAATTTTACAATGAATGAAGTTGAACAAATGGTACGCAATGAATAGTTTGCCATTATTTGTTGACAGTCGATTTATTTCAAAATATGTTAACATTGGTGTATATTTTTTTATAATTCGAATACTCATTTCAAAGTACAGCCACGGAGAATTGTTACATGTGTGATTCATCGAATTCTCTCAGTTAGCAGATCATAGTGCAGTTCTGCTAGTGATAATAATCATACTGTCATTGATGATAATGCCATTAGCTGGAACAACTCAGACAACAATTTTCCGGAGTATGTTGTCGAAGCAATCGCTCGACTGAATCATCGATCTTCACAAAATCATTTAATAATAAAAATGCTATAGTCACTATTATCTTTGCTATATAGAAGTAGGTGGCTTCTTTCTGGAATATTGCCATCAAAAACGAACCTTGTAAGCATCAGGTGTCGAATATCACACAGAATGATTGTGGAATATTCGATAAGTGATAATTTAGCAGATTCTTTTTCATATAAATCTTGTTGAAAGGTACGTGCTACTTTCATATAGTACAGGCAATGATGACCGTTGCAGTTCTATTATTGAGTTTATTATTGAGTGATTTAACAACAAGTCAAATTCCAAATCCTACTCAGTATCGATTCACCTTGACAACTGATGGCATTGCTCGAGAACGTTATGCTATCGATAAGCAAGTAGGCAAAATGTCTCGTTTATGGTTCTCGAATACTGGTGATGAAGAATTTGGTGGCAATCAAAACATATATGTACGTGATGATGGTCGCACGTATTTGTTTAATTTCATGTCGCAACCACGACAATGTATTGCAAATAGAGGTGGTCCATACAATGAAATGAATTATTGGCCAAATCTTGTTCAATCATTTGGTGGTGAACAAAAAAAATATGATGAGCTAATATTTGATGCTGATTGTGATGGAACTTGTCTAACTTGGAAAACTGAATTTAATGGAACATATGAGCATTATCGTTATGTGAATCGATTATATGTCAAAAAAGCAGAACAAAAACCAATCAAAATGGTTACGAGAGCATATAATCTGGACACAGGAGAATTGGTGTCAACATCTATTACGAAATTTACCAATTGGATTACAGGCAAAGTACCCGATTATGAATATGATTATCCAATGGATTTGGAAACATGTTACAAACCATAGATTTTTTTTCCTTTTCCTATATTCTCGAGCTGGAAAGCATTGTTGTGAATTAATAAACATTCTAAAGGAAAAAACATGAATTTTTATGATTTATACTTCATATCTTTTTCAAGTAAAGACACATTCGATCTCTTCTAAATTAACTGTGATTGCAGTTAACTTAACAAGAGTGAACTTTTATCGAATCTAATGCATGAAAAAGATCAAAATAATATTGATGTATATACGGAAGAGGCGCGATTTCAAGTGGTGGCAATCATATGTCTTATGCATTACTCTTATTTTCTATGTTTTAGAATGATTCTGAATAGAACTAGACACAATCATTAACTAGTAAGACTGAGCAAAGATAAGAATCGATCCGTATCGGTTGGTGTAAAGAAGAAACTTTTGTTGATCAGTAAAAAATTGGCTACTCATAATATTTACACTTTGATCTGATTCTTCACACTTGTCTCTATTTTCTCATATAGATTTCAACAGTTCAATACACAACTACCATATACAGCAGTTGAATAATTCCGTATACAAAGTGCAATTTTAAACTCTATTATAATTCCGCAGTCTAATCACCTCACTACAAAATCTGTTGTTGATCTTCGTGCAGTCTTGCTTTACTTCATAAACAGTTACTTGCGAGCGTTTGTGTTCGATCTAAGTTGAGTCCACAAGTGTGATACGCCGAGACTGAATAATTGATTGGTAAGACCAATGAAAGCATCTATTAAAACAATTGAATTAATACTAAAATGATTTATCAATTCTTATTGTTCTACCTTTTGATTAATGATAAAAGATCCTAGAACATCACATTGACTAAAATCTAAATGTTAACATTTATTTTTTTTGAATGAAAAAAAAAGAAAACTTACCAAAAAAAACATAATACTAATCATTGTAATCTCACTAATGTAAAAAAACTATGACGATCGATTGATCATTCTAATATTCAATGTAAAAGACTTTGGGAAAATGTCAAGCTCTGGAGCTCAGCCGTTTTAGAAAACAGAAAACTATTATTTATTACAAAGCATAGGGCAAATACTACAAAATACTATTTAATAAACGGAATATACTTATTTATTTCGACATATCTCAAAAACTTCTTCTGAACACCTACCATCATACCTTCCAAAAAAATATATTGTTTCTCAATCATTCGCATAGATTTCTTTTTTTTGTCGATGGAAAACCTATACAACTTCAATTGGATAAGTATGGAGGACATTTGGTAGATTATCAATACGAGACGTAAATGATATGTTTTGTTTCATCCATATGTTCTTGTACAGCATTTGAATAGCGTGTCCTTACCACAATCGACTTATAGCAAATAATGTTTATCTTAGTGATATTTATGGATAAAGTATGGCAATCTTTTGTTCATATATTCTTTTAAAAATGTTTCTTTATCAACAGCTTGCTTACTTATCTGAACGTATACATACGATACTCCTTTCAAGATCATGGCCACTTAAGTCATCACTCTTTGTTCAAATTTTATTTCCTTTAGAATAAGTGCGACTTCATTTCTCGTACTTCAAATTTTTGTCTATACGCATTTTGTGTTACTTTCTTTTTTTGTTAGTGAAAAACTTTATGAAAAAGCAGTCTAGAGAAAAAATTTCAAGAAAAAAAGGCAGACTTCACTACTTCTTGTACTTCCCCATGCTTCTTTATACTTCTCTATACCTCTTTGAACTTTTTCATACTTTTACATATGGATATCTGCTTCTATATACTTAGGTCAGTCCAAAAGTAGTGGCGGCCGCATCTTAATTTTGTATAGAAGGCTTGAGAAAACATTCCCTCTATATAGTCTTCAAGAGAAAAGAATGGTCTATTTTTCTATGCTATTTGATCATACATCAACTAATATCATAATAATAAAATTTCGATAAGAACTGTTTTTGTTGAAAATTAGCTGGTAACATTAGATCATAATGTATGTGGCGGTACTTTTGCATTTCATTTTATCATCACTTAATACGTTGTATTAAAAGCGCAAAATATACTACAAGATGCAGCGTGAAAAGCTCTACAATTTATAAAGGACTACTTATTTTATAGTCGTATTTTTTGTTTTCAAAATGCATAAAACTCTGAATTACGAAATTTCGACGTTGCAAAAACGATATTGTTCTTTGGTAACAGATGAATTCGGCTTTTCCTATCTCATGTTTTTATTACCTGATGGTTTATTTAAAAAAAGCAAAATATACTACAAGATACAGCGTGACAAGCTCTACAATTTACAAAGAACAATTATAAAAAGATGAGATAGAAAAAAGCCGAATTTGTCTGTTACCAAAGAACAATCTCGTTTTTGCAACGTCGAAATTTCGTAATTCAGAGTTTTATGCATTTTGAAAACAAAAAATACGACTATAAAATAAGCAGTCCTTTATAAATTGTAGAGCTTTTCACGCTGCATCTTGTAGTATATTTTACGATTTTAATACAACGCATTAAGTGATGACAAAATGGAATACAAAAGTACCGCCACATACATTATGATCTAATGTTACCAGCTAATTTTCAACAAAAACAGTTCTTATCGAAATTTTATTATTATGATATTAGTTAATGTATGATCAAATAGCATAGAAAAATAGATCATTCTTTCCTCTTGAAGACTATACAGAGAGAATGTTTTCTCAAGCTTTCTATACAAAATTAAGATGCGGCCGCCACTACTTTTAGATTGTCCTAAGTAGTACAATCAGTACACATCATACCGAAACAAATCTCATCGAAAGTTTATTATTATGCTATTAGTTTAGATATGATCAAATAGCATGGAAAGATAGAGTTTTCTTTTCTCTATCAGACTGTATAGAAAAAATGTCTCTCAGAGCTTTCTATAAGGAATTACAATACCTCCGTCACTACTTTTTTACTGACCTAAGTAGATCTCAGACAGGTCTAAAATTATAAATAAAATACATAAAAAATGTCGATTGATGTGCAATCGTAAAAAATAGAACATTGAGATGTTATTCTAAAATTAATATCATGATCTTGTTTTCAAATAAAAGTGTACATCGAGCTGTAATTTGAATTACATTTATTAGTTATAAACGGTATCTACGGACGAACATAAATTCACGTTTATAATCACTCATAAATCATTCGTAGTATAACTAACAATATTCGTCTTGTATAAAGCAAGCGCACGTTTGTGGGGCATAAAAGATAAGGAAAGAATAAAAACAAGAGTGATTTAGGGCTCACATAAGTGCAGAGTTTGAATCTCTTTGATAAATATCGAAACTAGAAAAGATAGTCGCCGCTTAAAGATAATTTGATCCTATATTTATTCTCAGTTGTTTTTCTACTCTACTCAGTGTAAATTAGAGGACTCGATTAACTGTCAACCAAACGAACTAATAACAGCAGACGTCTGTCTCACATGCCAAAAATGGTATCGTCACTATTATCATGCATCTATTTTCGGCTGATTATACTCATTTCTTGCCTTAATAGTCATAGAATCAATGGTGAAAATGTTACTTTTATTCCACAATCCATTCACATAACACTAAACGATCTTCCAGCACCATACGCCACATCACCAGCCTCAAAAAGAGCAAATATTATTGCTGTACCTTTGAATCCTCGTCTCTATGTCCCTGATGGATTTATAATAAAGTTATATATGAGTGGTCTCATATCTCCGCGCTATCTTCTCTATACGCCAGCAGGCGATTTACTCGTCAGTGAGCCGAATGCCAATCGAATTTCGTGCCTGTTAGATACAGACAACGATGGTTATCCAGATCAGCGTACAACATTTGCCGATGCATCAAATGGACTCAATCGACCGTATGGTATGGCATTTGCAAATGGATACTTTTATGTTGGAAGTCGAAATGCTACTCGACGCTATTCGTGGATTCATGGCAGTCGTCAAATATCAGGCACAGGTGAATTAGTGATGACCTATGATGAAAATGGTCACTGGACGCGAACTGTTGTCGTATCACCTACTTCTAATCATATCTATGTCAGTATTGGATCAGCATCAAATGTCAACGTTGAAGATTTACCACGAGCCTCTGTTCAACAAGCTAATCTTGATGGTAGTAATCAAACAACGTTTGCTTACGGCCTACGGAATCCTATCGGTTTAGCCTTTCATCCGATTACAAACGATTTGTATGCTACATGTCAGGAGCGAGATGCACTTGGCGACGATCTAGTACCAGACTATTTTACGCGTATTCAACAGAATGATTATTATGGATGGCCTTATGCTTATTTGAGTGCAAATTTAACTGATCCAAGACGACGTCTGGCAAATGAAACAAGTGAAAGACCTGATTTAGTCTCACTTACTCGAACACCTGATGTTCTATTTCAAGCTCATTCGAGTGCATTCGATATTCTTTTTTATTCGGGCAGCCAATTTCCAAGTAAATATCAGAATGGTGCATTCGCAGCTTTACATGGTTCATGGAATAAAAACAATGGAACTGGCTACAAACTTGTTTTTGTGCCATTCGATAGCAGGACTCATCGACCAATGGGCTATTACGAAGATTTTGTTTTCGGATTTCTAACAAATCCTTCAGGACCTGATACATTCGGACGTCCCGTCGGTTTACTTGTGCTTAAAGATGGAAGTCTACTATTTACTGACGATGGCAACAACCGAATCTATCAGGTGCAATATAAGAACCATATCGACAACATCACCAACAGTACACCTACTACCAATGGTAACAGCTATAATTACATTTCAGCAACTGTTATCATTGTCTGCAGTTTTCTCTTATTATTTTTATATTAAATACGGTGGGTGTAAGTCAATGGATCAGTGGATGTGATGTGTGGGTGTGAACTAAAACGAGATTCACAATCACATACCCATCCAAACCCATACCAACACCCACCACACCATGCCCATACCCATACTGACACCCACATCCACACCCTCTATAATTATGACTATACTAGCTTCTATTTGTTATGAATTTTTTTCTTTACTACTACAAGATATATTATTTTACATTTATTCAATTCTATTCTTTATACATATCATATATTATCATTTTCACTTTACTTAATTACATTTGCTAAATTTCAAAGCATATTTTTCCGTTTGATAATACCTAAAAAACTACATCAAGTTTGAGCGAAAAATTTTCCTGTAATATGAATAAGATTCAATACAAGTTGTTATTTATATGTTTATCTAATCTGATTATTATTTTATATGGAATGTATATTAAAGATAGAAAAAAAAAATTGATTATATAATTCAATTGAGATTTGTATACATCAAAAACAGAAAAAGATATTCGATATCTGCAAATGAATAACAACGGTAAACAAATGAGAAAAATTATTGCACGTCAATATATATATAATATCTATTTTAAACATTTCCTTCTACAGTCATAATTAAAGGATTAACATATTCAAAACCTTCAAATTCTGATTGTTGAATACGAGCTAAAACTTGTTCATCTTCAGGTGTTAAAACAACATCTTCATTTGTAAATTGTGGATCAAAATGTGACAGATCTTTATCTTCTGTTAATATTGGTTTATATGGAGGAATAATTTGTTTTAATTCTAAACGTTGCCAATCAATAGCTGGATGAAAAAATGGATGTAAACATATATCTTGAAAACCAGCTCTACAACCTAATATTGGATCATAACGACAACCTAAACGATGAGATGGATCTTTATTAAGAAAACCATCAAGAACATTTTTTGCTTTAACAGTTAATGAACGTGGAATACGTATTGGTTGTTCAAGAATAACTTGAAATAAACGATCTTCAGTATTTAAATCAGGATTTTCAGCTGAACCAACTATTTCAAATGGTGAACGTCCAGCCATCATTTCAAACATAAGTACACCTAGAAAAAATAAATAAACAAATAATCAATTAAAAATATATATTTAAATTAAAAATTTTTCTTTACCCAATGCCCACCAATCTACACTAAAATTATAATCATCATTACGTAACATTTCTGGTGCTAAATAATTTGGTGTACCACAAAATGTACTTGTTCGTTCATCACGTCTAAAATCTAAACCTTCTTTACACATTCCATAGTCAGTTAATTTAATATGACCATCAGCATCAAGTAAAACATTATCTAATTTTAAATCACGATAAATAACACCATGTTCATGTAAAAAATGTAAAGCAATTGTTATTTCTGCTGCATAAAATCTAAATAAAAAAAAAAAAAAATTATTTTCTTGAAATTTTATTTCTATTTTTTAACCTAGCACTTGATTCAGGAAGTTTTCTTTGTCGTTGCATATGATACATTAAATCACCACCAGTAACAAATTCAATAACAAAAAAAAGTCTTGATGATGTTTGAAAACATGAATGTAAACCAACTAAAAATGGATGATTTGTTGCTTTTTCAAAAACATTTTTTTCACATTGAATCCAATCAATGTCTTCATCATCATTAACAATAGATTTTTTTATTACTTTCATTGCATAAAGACGTGGTGTTTGATTATTATTTTGATTATTACGTAAATATCGAGGACGATATTCAGCTAAGAATACCTTTGCATATGAACCACGTCCAATAACTTTAAGTAATTCGAAATCTTGTAAACTTATGATTGGAGATGTAGATGAAGAATTTTGTAGATCACTATCGGCATCTATCAAATTACTATGAATACCACTTGGATCTTCAATAGAATTATGATCAAGATCTGTAAGACCTAAATATATTATTCAATAAATTATAATTGAAATTTAATAATAGTAGTTAAAATAATCAAGTGACTAGATTTTAGTAAGAAAAGATCAGATGTACTTATGTATAATAAATTTTCATATTTAATTTATGCTTTAAAGGAAATCAATTGAATAACGAAATATGAATAAGTGATTAACTGTCATTTTTCTGATTAAGATTCTAGGATATTTTGAGATCGGCACCAAAAGTTTTGCTTTTATGTTTCGATCTTCGATCTTGAATTAGAATACTGATTATTATAAAAAAAAGTTATCTAATTTGATTAGCAAGCTTTGTAATAATAGCACTATAGGAAACAAGTTATCATTTCGCCATAAGTAACTTAGAACTAGAGCGAACCATTTTTTAAAGCCTCTTAATTAACATACATCTTATTTGGTTTTAGTTAATTATAAATATTTGGAAAAACACACGATAGGTGCCATTGACTTCATTAATATTAATAGCGAAACGATCAGTGAACTTTTCATACTTGATTTACTAAAAATTCGGGTGATGAAATAATCGCAGAAAGTTTAGTAGTATTTCACTTTGATTTTTTGATCAGAAGAAAAAGTTATTATACGAAAATAATAGTTTTTAATCAAATTCGACAAAAAGTTTTCGAAATCGACAGACTCGAATCTATAAGCAGTTTTTCCACATTTTTTTCGGCTGTATTTCTGGTCAGAAAAAGCCATTGTCGTGAAAAGAAAAAGAAGTTTTCATAAACCTTCACTAAAATCACGGGTAATCGATCATTATAGGCTAAGAAAATTGAATTCGAAAATTTCGAGAAGTCATTTATAGATTTGAGTTTTTCAAGCTTTATAGATCTATAGTGAACTTTTTTCAATTATCTATACTTCCACAAAACACCCCTCTTCATCCGAAAAGATGCACATTGAAAGTTTCAATAAATGATTGGTAAATCTTGCTGTCTTCTTAAGTTGTACCAACGATAGAACGCTTCCAAATGTCAACTCATTTTTGTGTCAGGACAATCTTCATCATGTACGTTCTAATGAGCTATGAATACTATGAAAAAAACTTTCGATTATTAGTTTACTGCTGCCAAGATACTGAATTTTTAAGTGATTTTGTTTTTAAAATTAATAGTTATGGTCGCCCTCAGGAACACAAGAAAAACTAACTTTCGAAAATCGAATTGAATTTTTTTTTTGCACATAGATAGGTCTTACCAAGAAATAATATATTGTGAAAGTTTCAGATATTTTGATTGCTCCTATTTTGAAATAGGAATATCGTAATTCGCCAGTATATATGAGCGGTGCAAAAAATGTGCTTCGTATCTTAGGATAAAAATAAAATGATCTGAAACTTTTACAATAAGCTATTTTAGTTAACACTTGTCTCTATGCAAAGTTTCAAGTCAAAATTCAAAACTTAGCGTTCCTGAGAGCGTTGGCCACGGCAGTCTTCTAAAAAATACCGTAAAAATGCAATATCTCGATAACGATAAACTCATAGCCGAAACTTTTTTTCAGAGTATTCATAGCTCATTGGGACGTACGTGATGCATATAGTTCCGACGCAAGAGCAATTTGACACTTCGAAACGTTCCCTCGTAACTTACTAGTTACCTACAGTGTAATAGTAATTATTCTTTCTCAGTGCTATTATACGAATCTTGCCGATAGAATTAGACTACTTAGTTACAATAATCTGTATCCTAATTCAAGAGAAAAGATCAAAATTCGAAAGTATTAAACTCACTTTGGTATTGGCACGGGGCTATATTCGACAGTATCGACTATGAAATTTTCTTATGTACTTATTCATATTTCGATTAGAAAATGAATCGTAAATCTTAGTATATAAACACCGTTCTCTTTTGATAGGACATGTTTTCTATTGACTATTAGAAAAGTAATCGATTTTTTTTGCAGAGAAGTTGATGAAAGATCATATCGGAAAATTTCGATCTGCCTTTAAAAGTAATAAGTCATTCTTTCGATTCTAATCTTTCTAAGAACACTTCTAAATGTAATATATATATAGATATTGTCATAACAATATACACTTCACTAAATGTTTTAATGTGCAATTGAAATACACTTAGAAAAGAAGACTCGAACCTTCTTACCTTGTGCTCTTTTCAATGGACCAGGTTCAGAGATATTTGACATTTTTTGTTTTGACATAGAATCTTGAGAATTGATAAAACTAACACCATATGATCCTTGTCGATCAATTTGTTCATTGGCTTCATTTTGTTGTCCATTTATTTTACTATTAATAGATGTATGTCGTTCATTTGAATCAATAAACTTTGAATGTTGTGGTGATGTTGTACCGCAAACAATTCGTAAATGTTTTACACATCGTTTATGAACAAGAACCTTGTTGTAAAAAAACAAACAAATGATTTTTATCTAATTTGAAATTTTTTTTTTTTTTGGTTTTCTAACTTACTCGACAATCCAGACATTTATAACCTTGTCTACCTAAACCCCATAAACGATCATTACAAACAGTACATGCAGCTGTTGTACTAAATCGTTTAGCTTGATAACGATGTCCATTTATTAAATAAAGTTTTCTCCAACGACGTGCACCACGTCTATATATAAGTGGATCTTCACCTGGACATAAAAGTCCAGGTTGTTCAGGTCGATTTGGAAAAACATGTAAATGTAATTCTTTATTAGAATTTTTTTTATATAAACGTATAGCTGTATTTAATTCTCTTTGTGATGACATTGTTATAGGATCTAAAGATTCATCAAGCCATTTAATAGTAAATGTTGGTGGATTTGTTAATGTTAAATGACATACAGAACATAAATGATTATATAATGATTCTAATGTTAAACTAAATGGTAAATAAATAACAGTTGCTTCTTGTTGATAATGTATTAAAAATTTAACTGTTGTTAAATCATTATTATTATTATTATTATTTTCTTCATTTGCCATTGAATCAACAAGTGTTGTCATCACATATAATTACGGCAATGTGAATCTAGAAATGTAGTAAATATTCTATTTACTTTTTCTTTTAAGATTATTTGAAAATAGAATATATATTTATACAATAAATACATATTTATACGAGAATTAAATATAAAACACACATATAAGAGAATTATTCATGAACAATACGTGAAGTAAAATTAGGATGAAGAGGTTTAATGGTTGATGATTTACGTGATAAACCAACACGAAATACATGTGGTGATGAAATATTTATCTTACTAGTTGGAAAACCTAATGGAACTGATGTTCGTTTCTTTGGAAGATCTGATGTTCGAGCTGAAAATGAAATGAAAATGAAATGAAGAAGAATCGAAAAATATATATATATTTACTTGAAAGATTTTGATGATCAGTTTGTGATGTATTAAGATCCATTGACGATATAATTGACATTTCTAGAAGAGATAAAGAATTGAATTCAATATCTGAAATTTTATTATAAGTTTCAGCATCAAGAAGCTGTGGATCTATGATTTTGTTGACTCGAAGCAAGGTCCGATGGATTCAGACTTGGACCCGCTCAACTCTACGTTTAGATTTTTTATTCACTAGTATATTGCATTTACTATATACATGACTGAATCAAAAATTCAAAGTTCAACTATTTATCGACTATGAGGTAGAAAAAAAGTGCATGTAAAGTTATTTCTTGTTGTTCACATTCTCATCATTCTATCCTTAATATATTAAAATTTTTCATTTAGTTGAACAGAATACTAAATTATTCAACAAGAATATGTTGTAAGGAGCTGTAGATCGATGTTTTTGTGTACCTGAATTCCACTCCGAAATCTCTACTTCACATTTATGTCAAATTTAAATGAAGATCATTTAGATGAAAGTAAAGAATTTTCTTTCTCGTATTCATAGAGCATTAATGTTGACATATCAAAATTAGTATAAGCTTACCAGTTTTCTTGATTGGTTCTTCTGTTTTGTAAGTTGATATTTTATTAGACGTTTCATCTTCTTCATTCTCATTCTTAGATTCATTTTCATAAACATCATCTTCTTCTATAATTACATTTATAACTATGTCATATAAGAATAATAATTTACCTTCTTCATATTTCATTCGTTTACTTTTCGGTGATAAATCTTCATCTTGATCATTAACATCAGTTAGATTTTCTGATGATGTTTTAATATCTAAAAAGAAATTTATTAATAACCTACGGTGCAAAAATCTTCTCTTATTTTTTTTCCAGCTATTAAAAGATAACTAATTAGAATCAGAAGATTTAAGTCTTTCCGAAAATGTAATCAGAATTTCTTTCTCGAGTAAGATTGAACTACTATCATCAAATTGTTTTAAAGTAAGGGTTGTAGAGAATACTATTTTTTTTTTCAATATTGTCTTTCGATTGAAATCTATTAAATTCAAAATGCGAAACAGTTTTGTTTATTCTACAAAGTGTATTATTGACTTTTGTCTTTTTAAAAGCAGTTTTTGAAATAGCGATGGTTGATTTCCATAGAAACTAGCTATTCACTGGAAAGAGACTTCGGTTATTGTAATATTTCATTCTCTACAGAATGCAATGCTCTACAAGGATGTTGAGTTAAAGAAAATACGTAAATTAAGAACTACAACAAAAAACCGCTGTTTGGCTTTGTACCGACACAGTCTTGGACTTTTTCGCAAAATTTCCTGATAGTTGTTCAATCTTTCTCAAGAAAGAAAATCTGAACATATATTCGAAAAGAGTAAAAACTTCTGATTCTAATAAACTCACCAATTATCTTTTAGTGGTTGAAAAATGAGTGAATATTTTATGCTAAGACTTTAGTACTATAGTTTATCGTTTATTAACTTATTCGTACCATTACTGGATATTGTTGACTGATTATTTGTGTTTTCTTCATCATCTAGAGTAATTAGATTTTCGATTGGTACTTTTTCAGTTGACTTTTTTGGCTGTTGAGGTATTATTTTGACTTCTTCTTGTTCAGATTTAGATAATCTAGAAAATTTTCGAATAATAATTGAATCCAAAAAAAAAAAAAAAGAAAAACACAAACTAACTTTTCATCATGTTTTCGTGATTGTTGTTTAGTAATAGATTTCGATTCTGTCGAAGTATGATTCGATTTAATATTACGATTTTTTTTACTATTATCGATAACGATAATAAAGTCTGAATAAAAATCAATTATATATAAACATAGATAAAAAGAAAAACAAAGATTTACCATCATCATCTTCTTGTTCGTTATAGGACACGACCTTTGTTGTACTAAATCAAAACACATAGATTAAAAGCTAAATAAAAAATGATTTCAACTCACCGTTTTCCTACAGGCATAATTATTATTAATTATCTAAAAAAATATAAATTAATTAAATCAAAAAAAAAAACAAAAGATGTTTATAAGCCAAATTCTGGTAAATATTGCACAACTCCTTCTCCATCATTTAGTGGAAATGTTTGAGGTTTTAATTCAAGTGCCATAAAACAATCATCATTATCAAGAGGAAATGGAGCTCGAATGTTATACTTTCTAGCAGGTACAAAACCAAAACGTGGATAATAATGCTCATGACCAAGAACAATGATTGATGAAAAATCTTGTAATTTAAGTTCATTTAATCCATACTCAATTAATTTACTACCAATTCCTTGTCTTTGATATTCAGTCAAAATTGAAATAGGTGCAAGTGCAAGACTCGAAATTGATTTTGATGACAATGAATAATTAATTTTAATAGGTGTAAATAAAAGATGTCCTACAATTTTATTATCAATTAATACAACAAATGAAAGATTTGTATTAAATTGACTATTTTTTCGAAGATTTTCAACAAGTTGAGCTTCATCATCACGTTGAAAACTATCCTGATGTATTCGAAATACTTCATCTTTATCCGACTCTTGTTCTCGACGAATTTCTAACATTATTTTATCTGAAAAAAAAAATATATATATGTATATATATTCAGTGATATAGATCACATTGTAATTAATCAATAAAAAATAATGAAAATATGCACGTGACAAGAACAAAGAAAGAAGAAGAAGGTTATACACTAATACATTAAACATTCGTTGGCTTAGTTTTTGTATTTATTAAAATATTAAAGAAGGAAATAAATAGATAAATAGAGAGACTTGTTGTCATTTATTAATATCCACTAGTACGCATATATTGATTGGAACTTAAATAACTTGTTGCTTGGGACATTTGCATTAATTCATGAAATTTTTCAGCTGTTATTTTCAGTTCATGTGCTCGTTTTCGATCTTCAATAAAACGACGTTCGAAATCTGTGACTTCTTCTTCTGTTTTTTCACCATAAAAAAAATCTTCAGCAGTTTGCTAAAATTACAAAGAAAAAAAACAATACATGAGTTTTCAGTATGATCATGTCGAATATCATTTATAGTAGAAGAAAATATAAATTAAAACTAGACTTCACAATTAGCTACCCCGTATGAACTTTATTGTTTTACTCAAGAAAAATATATGCACCTTGTAACGGATCGAAACCACAAAAAGATTTACTAAATTAATGCTCATTTCACAAAAAGAGAGGTGGGTGGGAATTTTTTTAATAACTTTTGATACAGAGCTGTGGTTTTTATCATTGAAAAGAGGAGATGAAGTCGTATCGAATCATAAGATGTTTTATTAATCAAATTTATTTAAAATGTATCGGAAGAATGGTTCCATTTAAGATAAGAAAAATGACAAAAATGTGATTTTCTTCACAGCAATTCCTTGAAAAATTGACTGAAAATCTTTCATTGATGGTTCAGATGCATACTTGATAATTGACAATTCACTATAGTCACCTCACAAGGTACGTTCCTTTTCAACAAGGTCGATTAAAAACCTTAAAAAAAAACTAGGTCGAAAAAACTTGTAATATATGATTCGATGCGTCCTTATCTGCTCTAGCTAAAGGTGAAAACTGCAGTTCTCTATCAAAAGTTATTTAAAAAAAAATTCTCGTCCGTCTTTTTTTAAAACGATATTTAGTTATTTGTAACTTTCCTTTAGACAAGAAACAAAAAAACAAAACATTTCTTTAATTCAATGGCACTTCTCATTCATACATAAGGTTGAGTGAAGTGTAAATTGCACAAAGTAATTAATCTGAGTATTTTTCAAATAGAACAGTATTAACTATTGATCAAAATTAACAATATAAGCTACAAATAAAGATTACATCTGACTCATTGAAATTAATCAATGATTAATTTAACCGTGTAAAGTTCCTCTTAATGAATGATAATACTCATGAATTCAGAATACTGTAACAATACATCTTGCTTGTACAATTCAATAGATAACTTGATTTATCTCTCATGTCGTTTTTACAGGCATTAAAGTTCTAGTTCGAGACATGAAAAGTAGTTCAATTTCCAAATTTGATTTATGCTGCATATTTCAATTATAAGATTACGTTATCTGACTAAATAGTCGGGTGTTTCTATATTGTATCTTTTTTTAAACTAAATCAATTCGCTTGTTTGAATATCAGAAACATTAGATAAGAAATATCCTTTCATATGGTAAATTCTAAATCGTGGCTAAGACCTTTCAAAATGAATGAAAGATTAAAATAAATTATGAACAAAATCTTTAAGTTAAAACACTTAATCACTCTTAACACAAATCTAGCTCATATAAAAACACTAGATGTTGAGCTATTTATTTCTCAACGAGAAAATATACACTTTTGATCAATGTTCTCTTTATTTTCGATAAATATAAATTCTAATGTAAATTTAATAAGATTATATCATAGCTAGGAATGTGCGGTTTCGATTTACTTAGAACTGACGTCACCGACACATTGAGCACTATATCGATGTCACTGTCACTGTGATTAAACTGGTACTGAAAATCATTGGTACACTGCAGCACCGGCATTCAGTGAAACACCGGTACACCGATTCTGTCAGAGTATACGCTTGCTATGCTTTTATTTATAAATTTCAACGAAAAATCGTAGAGTGAATGCATTAATCCTCCTTAAAAATATAAATTTGGTCTATCTATAATTTTGAATATTACGGTCGACTTCACTGTTAGCTTTATTATTAACACATAAATGACGTTTTCAATCTAGAGTCTTCCTATTGAATATCCATTGCTTTCGTTATTTTTACGCATTATGGATAACTGTTTTTGGCAAAATATTCAAGAAAGATATAAAAGTACTGATCAATCAAAAAATGATAAACTTTCAAACTGATTTAATGTTTTAATTTTAAACTGCAATGAGAATATGGAGCACATCTTCCAGTTTGATTCGAAGTTATGTGCAAATTTGTAAATTTCTATCGTAAATCTACGATTCGTCTAAAGAAGATGGGAGCTTTTCACAGTTTATTTAATGTCGGTAAGCTAATTGTCACTTTTGTAACTTTATAAATTTTTATGATTTATATAATCAATGTGTCCTTTTACAATACGGACAGTTCTCATTTATCGTTTTAAATTGTTTTTTTCTAAAATGATTGATATTATACATAATGACGATAAAATAATCTCAAAATATATAAAAGAGTGTGGGTGTGGCGACGAGCATTCGCACCCATACCCCCGGATAGAAACGATCGAAGCTAAAAGAAAAAAGAAAGCAGCTTGTTTCTTGTCCTTTATTCAACTGCGTAATATGATGTATCGAACGACAAAATGTATAAGAGAATGCTGAAGACTATCGATTTTACTTTTCCATTACACCAGTCAAAATTAAAATGGAATAATGAATTAGTAAATAGTCAGAAGCAAAGAGAGCGTAAAAAAAAAGAGATAAAAGAACAAAGGATAGAAAACATGACGTATGTTCTATGAAGATAGTGAAAAGATAACTCCCTTATTTGCTAACCAAATATCACATTGAATAAAATCAGATTTAAGAAAAAAAAACAGGCATTATTAAAATGAAATGCTTCCATCTAGTCAAAAATTTATGTGCATTCATAGTTTCTAACCGCAATATGTCATAGTATTCTGTATATAAATTGTAGTCAATGAAAATCAGCGTCGGTGTGACAGCGTTCCGCTGAACGTCGACATCGATGTAGTCAGTATTTACACACGGAAGCGCACATTCCTAATCATATAAGTTATTTTATGAACAAAAAAGAAATGAAATACACATTCCTTGTGTTGAATCAGAAATGAAAATAATATTTTAAGTCTGAGGAAAAATTTAACTTTTACATACTTCTGTTGCTCGTTCAAGATCCGATGCAGCTGTTTGTAATAATACATAAATCATATCTGGATTTGTTTCACCAGTTTGATCATCTATTATGAAAAATATAATTTCAAAATTCAAAAAATAAAGTTTCAAATAAATATTACCATATTTTCCTCGAATACTATCATATTTTTCTCGAATTTTACGAAGTTCATCATGTAATTGAGCGAGTTTTTGTTTTTCATGAATAAGTATTGGTTCTTTATCAAGATTAGATAAGGCTAAACGTTTTATAGTATCTTTTAAACTTTCTTTAATTGTGTTCATTTGTTGAGTCTTAAAGAAAATAAAAAATTGATATATTCAAAAGATAATAAATTCTTATATACTTCAGATAGACTTAATACAAGTTTTGTTACTTCTTCATCACTATTCATTAATTTTTTTAACTCTTCAACACTCATTTGACTGATACGTCCACGTGCTTCATTTAATCCGCCGTCATTATAGTTATAATAACCGTTCATCATTTTATCTTAAGCTAACTCGTGAGTGAATAAAAAAAAAAAAATTCGTCTCGTTCTTATTTTTTCTTTCTCTTTTCGCATTATAGGTCATGAATCAGTGCAGTTTATTTTCGAACCAATTGGAATAAAGAGGTCAGTGATGAACAATAGAAAAAAAAGAGAATTTTATTTTTTTTTTGATATGAAAAAATTATTAAATTTGATTTGATTTTTATTTTCATAAATTTTTGTTTTTTTGTATAAAATGGTTTTTTGTTTCGTTTCCATGACATTCTATTCAAGAATGAATACTGATCATTGATTTGTTAAAGACCTAGAAATATATATATTGGTTGTTTGTTCAATGCCTCGAACAACATCAGAAAATCCTCATAATTCACATCCTGGATCAGCAACAACAAAATCAACAAAAAAAGTCACTATTAAAAATGGTTCAGGAATACCAACAATTGAAGAACGACTTGGTTTGTTGAATAATTGAAATTATTGTTTATTATATAATTGTTTATTATTATTTTTTTTTTTTCTCTCAAGGATATTTACGTCCATCACGAGAATTATTAGAATTTTATCGACGAAAAATTGCTCAATATGATACTGAACGAGATGATCTTCTTCAAAAACTTGATCGATGCAAAGTTGCTTATGAAGAAAAGGTTTTCTTTTTTTTTATTTTACAAACATTTATCAATATAGAAAATCTTGTTGAATCTAATTGATGATAGTTTATAATAAATATTTAAATTTGGAATGAAGTTACAACGAAATAGAATCAAATTTTTATCATTTGAGAAATTTGATTTTGTTAAATTGTAGTTTAAAAATCTAATAAGGAATTTAACAGAGAACAACTATCCTTCTCATCTGAAATATTTTTCGATCTTTCTCAGCAGAGGAAATCCACTGTGCAATTTAAATAGGTTCATGCTAATAGAGATTAGAGAGAGTAATACACTATAGAAAAAATATTTTTTACAAGTGTATAGAGCTTGTCTTGAAGGTTCAGAAAATGTACTCGATTTATCTGTCGAACAGTTTAATTTTATTAGATATCTGAGCAACTAGTTCATCAGTTATTTATACCATTAGATTGATTATATTTGGATATATATTTCCCTATAGTTTTAAATCTTGAAAAAGAACGCGATTTTCGTTTTCAGCCAAATGTCTGCCAGGATGCACATTGTGCTCCGCTTCCACTGAAGCGCCTCTTAGGACCAATTGATTGATATTTCTTCGTAAATCCAATTCTCTTTGAATACACGGCAATGAATTAAATTTTTTACGATAGAGATCTGATTCAACATTGAAAAACTTTTTTTGTTTAAATTGTGAATTTTTTTCTTTAATATTTATGTGAGAAATTAATGTATTTTGTGAATTCTATTGGCATATTTTCGCATTTGCAAACTTTTTCAGATATATGAGAATCAAATTTTGAAAATATAATCTTCTGTAAAGAAAATATTACGGGAATAAAAATTCACAATTCAAATAAAAAGAAAATAAACCTTCAGTATTGAGTCTAATTGTTCAATAAGAATATCAATGGATATCGAGACTTACTTTAGTAGATAACACATAATACATTCTAATCGTACTCAAAGAATCAGCGGTGAAACGAAAAGAAAAAATTTTTAATCAAAGTTCTAAAATCTGAAAAACTAAATTCTAGAGGTTTCTGTAATACAAGTGTGTATGGAAATCGAATTTTGATTTTCTTAAGCATTATTATTTCGTATAAAGTTAATTTACTTTTATCAACCTAGAATAAGTTCTCGAAATATAACTACATATTCAACATATGGAATTTCTTTTCAAATATAGAAACTTTTGTCAAGTAATAAATCGCTTTTAAGATGAATCGTAACCAATGTGGTAGATCCTATTAAGATTAGACAAAGTTTAAAAGAATTCAAGTCCATGAGTGTTTCATATGGAGTTATGATAACTCAAGTGCATTATTCAATAGAATTTCTTGGTTTTCAGCCTTTTCTAGTATCTCTTATCCTGAAATATAAATACAAGAACAAAGTTTGGTTTTTTTCTTCTTCGGCACAACAAACTATTCAATATTGGAATCTCAGAAGAGAAGATACTAGAACATGTGATATTTTTACCATGAGTTAGTTCCATTGAAAATTTTGTTTATACAGACTTTTGAACACAAAACTCGATTATGAAAATAACCCGAGAAGAGTCACGATATTTTATTGAGAAATTCATTAGAATGACTTTCACTCATGAAGAACGAGCTATGAATATAAATTCTTTTAAAGTTTTTCTAATGAAATGAGATTCATCTAATAAATGATTTTTTACTGGGCGAGATTTTTTCATATATGAAAATTAAATAGCAAATCAAATTTTTTTATCTTAGCTTTGATGAAAGATTATTGAGAAAAAAAAATTTGTTTTAGCATAAATTGGAATGGGAAATACGTAAACGTGAAAGTGAAATAGTTGAATTACAAAAGGCTATAAGTGATTTACAAATATATCTATTTCAAGAACGTGAACAAGTTTTACGTCTATATGCTGAAAATGATCGACTTAAAGTACGTAAATTAATGATAGATGAAAAAGAAAAAAAAACAACATTTCAATTTTTGAATCTAAATTCTAATTCAGATTCAAGAATTACAAGATCGTAAAAAAATCAATCGTTTATTAAATCTTTGTGGTGTAACTGAAGAAGAAATAACTTATTTTATTAAAGAACCACCAGGTATTGGTATTGTTCCACAAAAAGTTTCACCTGTTGTTGTCAATGAACAACGTTCATCTTCTTCTCATCAAAGTATGTTTATTTAGATTTTTATTAAGAAATATTTTTTGTTTTTGCTTTTTGAATAGAAGATCTAGTCGAAAAAAAATCATCAAATATTTCATCACAAATACGTGATAATGAAACACTTTCATTACAAATTGAAGCACTTCAAGCTCAACTCGAAGAACAAACAAAATTAGCTAGAGAACAAATTGAATCATTACTTGAAGATCGTCGTGTACGTATTGAAGAATATGATGTACAACGAAAACGTGATGAAGAACGTCTTAAACAAGCACAAGAAAAGTATATTTATCATTATTCAATTAAATATTTTTGTGCAACACGATCCAAAAAGAAATGTTGAAGTATAGGGGATAAAAATTTGGACTCTCCACAAACCATAACAGACAGTATTTCAATATATCTAAATTAGTTCCTTATTGCATTTCTGAAGGATCAAGTAAAAGTATGGTAAAGAATTCTCCTATGCTTAGCAAGAGCAAATATATCGCGTTTCACATTTTAATTCTACACGGATTGAACTAATAGCTTGTTCTTTTTTTTTTTGGATATATTTAAATATAGATATTTTCTTTTTTCAAAGAATTATACAAATGCAAAATCTTCTTCATGAATCAACTAAAGATGTTATTGAATCAAAATTTGATTTACGTAATGCTGAAAAACAATGGTTAAATGAAAAAGATCAACTTTTACAAGAACTTGATAAAACACAAGCACATGAACAACGAAAAGATGATGAAATTCTTTTTTTAAATACATCAAATCATATACAAAATACATCATCAGCAGCATCAATTCTTCTACAAGAAAATGCTTATTTTGAAGAAGAAAAAAAAAAATATGAAGATGAAATTCATGCACTTGAACAACAACATGTTCAAACACATAAACTTGCTGAAATGTATCGAAATCAAGTTTTAGTATTAGAAGAACAATTATGTAAAATACGAGAAGAAGGCGATGTTACACGAGAAATATATAAAGTAAGATGAAGAGATAGTATAAGTATAACATACAACGTTTAGTTTTATACTTGACTGTAAAACATTCAAGCTTGACAGTGTGCACTAAATAATTACCGTCAGAACGTTATCATTTAATTTGAAATTATAATATATTGTAATTTCTAAATGATCGAGATTTCTTCATCTAAATCATTAAAGATTTCTAGATATATTCACAATTTATTTATATATCTATCATAAATTTTACAAGCTGAATATTCTTTGATAAGATTATCATGGTGATTTTTTCGAGGAGTAATGATTGACACTGAGCCATCTTCTTGTCTATCATCAAAATTCTTATTCTGCAATGAAATATAAGATTAAGTGCGTTTCTGATCGTCAGCATTATAAATTGAACAAATGAAAAATAAACTATAGATAAGAATCAAATAGTAATATTTGAGAGAGTTTTTCAACAAAACAAAAATATCAATCATAATGAAAAGACATTTTAATAAAGTTGTAAAATATAACGAGAAGATTTATCATCTTCTCAGATCTTTATGTCTATTTTTGAACATAACTCGAGACCTTACCTGAAATTAATGAAGCTATTTTCATTATTTCCATGAATTAAATTGAAATGGTATCACATATTCAATATATCGGAGTTATGATAACTCATTTCTGTGCAAAATTATCCGGTAGTGATTATTCACATAATAAAAATAATGAATATTATATATAACGCCGCTCAAAATTTAATTTTTTCATGAAAGGTTGTAGAAAACGCGCCGATCCTTCATTTTCTTCAGAAGTTTGTACTCTTTTACATGGAATTCTCAAAGAGTTTTTTTAAAGCCTCATTCCTATAGTTCATCCATCGAATCGTCATAGACAATGCATCTAATAAATAATTTCATTGGTCAATCAAATTACTATTTAGATTTGAGTTCGATACTCAGAATTATAGAAAAACAAAATAACTTGTTCTTCTAATTTCGAGCAGTACTGTATTCTATTGAATTAATTGTCTCTCCATCACTTTCACTAGAAACAAAGATTATTTCTTGCCATGAAGTGGTGAAATACCTAACTAGTATAATGAAGCTACGATCCTCGTTGTAACTGATATTTTAGAAAATGAAATATATCCTAATAGTTAAAATAATACAATTTCAAATAGTGAAATGATTAATTTAATTTTGAATTTTTTTTTAAAAAGGATCGCTCTGAAAAAATTGGACAACGATTAACAT